ACACTTTTAATAATTCTCTAAATATATTTTTTATCAGACATGCTGGAAAATACTTATTTTACATTCTGTGTCTTATAAGTTTCATACATGAATTATTTGCAGGTCTGAGTCTGTTTCCTGCTGTTTCTACAGGCTCTTCCTTGTGGTGTCTCGTTTCCTGTATGTTTTGTATTTTTTCACTGTGAATTCATTTTCCTTGGAATTTTATTTGTAGGAAATCTTTGAGACCTGGATTTAAGTGTTTCCTCCTAAAGGATTTGCAGTTGCTTCTGCCTGGTGCTTGAGTTCACCACCAGCCTAGGCTCACAAACTATTGTATTGTGAATTTAGCTACAGATCCACATAACAGCCAGCTTATATTTCTCAGTCTCAGCCAACACAGATAACTTCAAGCTTCCAACTTCATATGGCGGGCTCTCATTAGACTCCCCATCTTGAGTGAGCCCTGGGCTTTTTCATCTACTTCTGTGCCCCAAATGGCCAACAGAAGGAAACTCAGGATTACCTGGGTTGGCTGCCAAGGTGAAGGCTAATTGTGTGCTTGCTTAACTCTCTAGATTTCTGTATTTCCTGGTTTTGGCTTCTAAGAATATCTTACTTTGATGCCAGCTCAGTGATGCATTTAAAAATAAGTTTTTAAAGAAATGTTTTATTTAGAATTTTTGCTGTTTTTAGTGGGAGAGTAATCTGCTATACTGCTAAAAATATAAGTTGCCTTTTGTCTTAGTCTTAACCTTAACACAGCATTTGTCATTCACTCAAGATATCTCCATTATTCTTATGAACATCAGCTGTTTTTGTTTTTTTCCTTTTTTTTACTTTACTGAGGGTCTTGGGTTGGGCATCAAGAGGCCCGGGTTTTATGCTGGACCTTCCTCTCTCTAAGCCCTTGTTTTTCTCACCTATTAATGGGCTAGGCAATTGCTGAGATGCCTTCCAGCCCTGGCTGTGGCTCTGTGATTTTATCCATCTATTTGTATTCCTTGTCAGTTGGCACATTCTGTTTTCCCTTTTGTCTCCATAATACTCTAGGTTGGAGGGGAGAACGGGAGAGGGCGGGTCCAGAACCAGAGGGACTCACATCAGGAGTTCCTGACCTCCAGGACATGGAGCTCAACATTCTGACCTGACCCAAACCTTTGCTGCTGCCTAGGTGCCATGTGCCTCTCTCAAGAAATAGCCTGCCCCAGCTGCCATCTGTTGCCCATTTCCCAGAATATTGAGGAGTCCCAGGGGAGCCTGAAGTTGGACAAGCTGGAGAGTTTGGGAGGAGAACTGAGCTCAGCACAAAAGGAGACACTAATGAAGGAAGAAACAGTTATCTAGCCCAGGATGTCCTTCTACCCTCTTTGAGCAGGGTGAGTGCATGTGTAGGTGTATGTACCTCCCACTTCTCCGCCAGTGTCTGCTGCCTTTGAGGAGCTTCTTGAGTGTTGAATCAACTTTCCATGTCCCCATACTCGGAGTGATTCTGTCTTGCTTGTATCTGAAATTTCTTAAAAGTTCTTTGAACTCTTCTGAGCTTCCTGAGTGACTTTTTTCGGCTGGTGTTTTCAGCAAAAGAAGGGCTACTCTGTTGATCCCTACCTCAAAAACTGAGCCTGGAGAGCAAGAGGGAAGGGAGGAGTATTACAAGATGATCAAGTGAAGTGGGATTTTGTATTAATAGAACAAAAATTGAATTGATAACATTAAAAAGAAAAAGGGATGTCCTCTGATAAAAGGGTGACTCAGTAAACTTTTCTTAAATATGTGTTCAGGGGAAAGGGGTGGGGGTATTTAATGGTGAAAGCGCTTCCCCAAGATTGAGCTGCTAAGACTGGAAGCCTGAGCTCGGTGAGTCTGTGCCTCTGGGGAAGGCGTAGGCAAGTTATCCAATTGACATATTGGCTTCCAGCCTTTCCCTAGAACCAGAGGTCTCCCGAGTGCACCCCCAGGATGCCCCCATTCACAGCCTGAGGAGCACTCAGTCTCCCTACTAGGATGGGGCCATGGAGAAGCTAGAACAGTGATCCAAGCCCTCCACTGGCTTCATCGCCACCCTTCATCTCAAAGATACCACATAGCAATGGCTTCCCACTTTTCTCTCTAAAGAACACCTATGTGGAAAAGCTCTTAGAATTAAGCAATACAACTTCAAAAACAAGTGCAGGGAGCTGTGGATGTCTTTTTGTAGAGGGGATGCAATGAACATGGCTAGAGTCAAGTGGGTTCTGTTGTGACTGTTAAATAGTGTTCAATGAGGGTGGACCTCATGTGGTGCACCTTGGGGTACACAGAGGTATCAGAGTTTGTCCCTGTCCTCCAGAGGCACATACCTGAGCAGAGGAGCTAAGAGGTATATGCCTGAAAAACTAACAGTTAACTCCTGGGCTTAAGCGATCCTCCCACCTCAGCCTTCCAGCTGGGACTTACAGGCATGACCACCATGCCTGGCTAATTTTTCTATTTTTTGCAGAGATGGGGGTCTCCCTTTTTTTTTTTTGAGACAGAGTCTTGGTCTGTCACCCTGGCTAGAGTACAGCGGCATCATCATAGCTCACTGCAACCTAAAACTCCTGGGCTCAAGCGATCCTCCTGCCTCAGCCTCCCCAGTAGCTGGGACTATAGGCATGGGCCACAATGACCGGCTAATTTTTCTATTTTTAGTAGAGACGGGGTCTCGCTGTTGCTCAGGCTGGTCTTGAACTCCTGAGCTCAAGTGATCCTCCCACCTCGGCCTCCCAGAGTGCTAGGATTACAGGTATAAGCCAGCCTGGTCAATTTTTTGGAGTTTCTTATTACATTTCTCTCCAAAAGGTATCTTGGGAGTTTCTTATATGGATATGGTGACAGCCTAGTTCCAAGTCTTCTTACTTCTCCTTCTTGAAAAAAAAAATGTAGAAACTATAATTGCTAGTGAAACTAGGCATAGAAAAAAACTAACTCCAACTTATATATTTGTGGCCCAAACCACTCCAATCCAGCAGAACCAGTATGGGGAAGCCATACTGGGGGACTGGCTTTGTGAACACAGTAGGGTAGATCATAGAATATATGGGGTGCTAGTGGTGGCAAATTCCAAATCATTAGCAAGTATTAACCCTCAGAGGCCTGAGAGGGACCCACCCTGAGAGGGAATGGCTATGAATAGGATAAGAGAACAAACACATTGGGACTTGTGTGTTGGAAAGGTGTAGAAGGTATGGAAAGTGCATGGAAGGCCTCTGGGGGGAGAGATTTAAGAATAGGCATGACTATTTTAGTAATTTTAGCTTAAAGTTAGAAGAGGGTAGTAGTCCATGACTCAACTCTCCTATCTTCTCACCCACATTCCTATAGATAATCAGAAAACAATGGACATTCACAACACCAATGAAAGCTAAGATTGTTGGTGGATTTATTGCCACAGTGTGCGAGGAATTTTTGCTATAGGGCCATAGAATTGGTCAAATAAAAAATAAATGAAAATCAAATCCACAAAGATTGGGAATCAGTTAATTTTGGTGAGTTGAGCACCCTCCTATTACATTTCATGGGAATGTAAATTGGCTAAACTTTCTGGGAAGCATTTTAACCATATGCATTAGTATGCTTAAAATATTTATACCTGTTGACCCAGGAGTTGAATTTCTAGGAATTTATTCTAAGGAAATAACGAATCAAAGTATTCATATACAAGAATGCTTGTTCAAGGTTATTTTTAATAGTAAAAGAATTATTGTAGATTATTTATCCTACATTGGAATGATTTAAGACAGTATACTATATTCATAGGACAGAATATTATGTATACATTAAAAATTTAATTTTTCCTGTACTAGCTGGAAGAAGTAAAATATATAAATAAAGAGGGCTGGAGAAAGCCTGCATCTGAAAACATGGCAGACTAAATATTTGGACTGATTCTTCTGCCCCAAACAACAGAAATGATAAAATGCATTATGAAATTTAAAAGTATCAAAAAGAGAATAAAATAGTAATGGGTGATCAGATAGCATCGAAGTGAAGAACAATACCCAGAGAAACCATTCTAGGGAGATTTGATTTTTGTAAGCTATGCCTAGAGCTCACCCAAGGAAGGGTATCTAATAGGAGAGCTTTCCTGCCTTGGTGAAAGACTGCAAAGGCCACATCATCAGTGTAAGAGTGAGAGATAAGTAATGTGTCCTATACTCCTACCCCAGGGTCCAGCAAGGAAATTGGTCTTAGTGCTGAGCCAAACAACCGCAAAGCCGTCATTGAGAAGTTGTAACCACAAATCGCCCCTCATACACCTGCAGCCCAAATTTATATTACTAGCATGGTTCAAATATCTTCAAACTATAGTTTACAGCGGCCTTGGGCTGGTGATGCTGGCAATTATGTGGAAGGAAAAAAATGTAAATCCTCTCTAGAGAATTTCACGTTATCTTGGAACTCAGAGAAGTTCCACAAAAAATTCACCAAGGAAAATAAGATTATAGTCATAAACAAGCACACAAGGAAACAAGGCATCAGGGTATATATAAGGAAGGTATGTTTGAGGAATGCCAATTTATTGAATGCCCCCAAAACTCGTACATCAATAAGAGATAAGCAGCTTAATCGAAACACAAGGGCAAGCCAGTTCACAGAAAAAGAGAAGTAGTTATTATAATAAATGTAGGAATAATGACTGACATCACTCACAATGAAGAAAATATGAATAAGAAATGATGTAACATTTATTTCCCCTATTGATTGGTAGAGATTAAAGTTGGATAATCCCAGAGCTGATGAGATGGTGGGAAATGAACGCTCTGGGGCACTGTAGGTGGGAATGGCATCAGCAAAAACAGTGGGAATGGCAGTCAGCAGAAAGAGATCTGAGGGGACTTCAGGTCTCCGAATTATCAGACTCAACTATATTTACTATGTTTAAAGAAAGGCTTAAAAAATATCTGCAGGAAATAGAATATATTTTTTAAAAAGATCAATCTAGAATAGTTGAAAAGAACCAAACAGAAATTCGAGAAATGAAAAAACATGTATTAATTAAAACAAAAACAAAGTTTGGATTTTGTAACATAGGAGAAACAGCTGAAAAGCGGGTTCTGCTTCTCTCCTGGGCCCAGCCATCTGGAAGTGAGACAGATGATGTCAGACTGGAAGGAGGCCACTCTGCAGACATGAAGATTATTCACATTCTAAGTCAATCCAAACCAGAGTTTAGACTAATTTATCAATCCAGTTTTATCTCTAACCCCTTCATTCTAAACCCGGATCCTGAACCATCATTTTCAATTTTGCCTCTGCCCGACGCCTTGCACAAGGCACGGTAGAGCGGAATAACCTCGTGGTGACAGTCTGAACTCTAAAGCCGTTTGAGGGCGGCGCCGTGTCCAGTCGCGTGTCTAGCGATACATCGAGTCCTTTCCACAGAGGGAAAGCAGGTGCAAAGGCGCGGAGGCGCAAAGGAGCCCGGCGACAGAGCACCTCGAGGAGGGCAGTCAGCCCAGGAGGAGCTTGTGAATCGCCCGCGGCAACGAGCGACCATCGAGATGCACCTCCGAGCGTCCTAGAGAGGAAACGGAAGCGGTCCTTTCCTCACGCACCTGTCTGACAGCGTCCGCAGATCACTTCCGGTCCGCGGAGAGCACGGGCGAGTGCGGCAGGGGTGAGGGGGCGCGGGTGGGAGGCGGGTCAGGGCCGCGGCTGGCGGTGGGAGGGAGCGGGGTCGGGCTGTGGTGCCGCTGCGGGGCTGCGCGGAAGCCAGTCTACTTCTGCCCAGACCCAGGTGCGGGCGGCGCGTCTCCCCGCTACTGCCTCTCGCGGTACCCAGGCCCTGCTGGTCGGCGTTGGAGGGGCCGCGCCACGATAGGCTCAGGTAGGAGCGAGGCTGATCCCGCCCGGCCAGGCCTGGCTTAACGCAGGGGTGTCCGCGAACCTGAGGTGATGTTGAACCAAAGCGTAAGTCTGAAAAGTGAAAGTAATCATTTTAGAACAAGTCTTAGGACACTCATTTGAAGAGTAGCAATGGGGCAACGTTTATTTGTCAAGTGTCAGAGATGAAAGATGAATCTGGACCTTTCTTGCCTTTAGCGCATCTGGTAGACGGAGACACGTTGGTAAACGTGCGCTATAGCGCGGTTAAGTACACTAGTGGAGCAAACAAATGCAATAGCTAGAAAGTCATGGAGTAGAAATCCCAATTGATGCGGCAGAGAAAATGAATAGACTGAAAATGTAAAATCGGTTTAAGGGTGAAAATAAGTACACAAACATCCAATATAATATTTAGCGGGAGCTGGGGACGTGCCTCCTGCCTGTTACACGTTCTTTGCTCCAGTCAGGGTGACCTTTCCTCTTTCTGATGAGCAGAGTCCCTTCCCCGCTGCTTTGGACTTTCAGGTCTGTCTCCCCAGCTTAGGTCCTCCCCCCTAACCCCCATGGAGGAAAATAGGACTCATCCTCCAGTCTCCTACAGGCCTCTTCTTTCTCTTGAATACTTGGATTGACATTGATCTCTGTCTTTGGAGTGCCCATGTTTTTTATCTGTACCAGGTGGGAGGCAGTCATCATTATATAATAACCTCTTTTTTGTTTTCCATCTGAAAAGTAGGGGGAGTAGTACTCACTACACAGAATTGTTTTGAATATTAAATGAAGCGTGTGTTCACATGCTTTCTAAATATAAAGCCTTTGCAAAGTAGAACTCTTTTGGTCATTTATAATAATAGTATGTATGTTGCTCCATTGTTTTCTTTAGGTGGAGCACACCATCACATGTAAGCTACCAGCAAGTTTGTTCGCTTTACCTTCAAAGTACGTCTTGATTTTATCTGCTGCTGTGCCACCACCCTGATCTAAGCCCCTGTCATCTCCTGCTTGAACTGCCGTAAGTGCCATTCTTCTTCTTTCCTCCTTTAATCTACTGTGTGTTGACACAGGCAGAATGACTTCTGTAAAACATGTAGCTCCCCACCAAACTAAGAAGTAAGAATAAAGCTCATATTTCTTACTGTGGCCCAGGTTCTGGGTGATCTGGTTTCTGCCTGCCTCTGCCACCTCTGTGTGTGCAGCTCTGCCCTTTCACTCTGTTGAAGTGAGAAGTTTGGCTTGTTCTTGGACATGCAGAGTAATTTCTAGCCTCAAGGCTTTTGCCTGGAATGCTCTTTGAATGACTGGCTCATTCTTATCCTTTGGGTCTCAGCTCAGTATCATGTCTTCAGAAAAGCCTTCTCCAAGTCAATTGTTGCCAGTTAACAGAGCACCTTACTTGTTTCTTTCTAGAACTTATCCCCACTGGCAATTTTTTTATTTGCTTACATTGGATTTTTTTTTGCCTTCACTAGTATATGAGTTTCAAGAGGGCAAGCTCCTTGTCTGTCTTGTTCTCTACTGTATTTCTAGTTTCTGCATGCCTAGTATATGTATATGTATGTGTATGTTTGTGTGTTGAATATATGTTTCCTTTAGTATTGGAAGAGTGGGCCCTGTTGACTAACCCATTTTATATTATTCCCTGATTGTAGTGTTATTGTCCCAGTCAGATCCTAAACTATTTGTGAGTATAAGGTTAATCTTACTCATTTTCTATTTACTCTCTGCACCTAATAGGTGCTTAGCAGATACTGAATTAAATTGACATAACTTTCAGTATCTATGTTCAGTCTTTTGAAAATGCCTCAGAGAAAGTAATTACCATGTTCTCCAGCAGAATATTCACTGATGTAGAGACGACTGGGACGGACTGACCTTTCATGTGTGTCATATTCTCAAAAGGGTTCTCAGAAGACTATCATTCTCAGTCTTCTGGGAGGGAGCGCAAAGATGCTTAAAGAGCATCCGGGGATGGCGGAAGAGCCTCAGCAGCAAACGGGTGTTCCTGTGGTGAAACTGGAGAAAGAGTTGCCATGGGGCAGGACAAGGGAAGACTCCAGTCCTGAAACTTTTCGTCTGAGGTTTCGGCAGTTCCGCTACCAGGAGGCAGCTGGACCCCAGGAAGCCCTTAGGGAGCTCCAAGAGCTCTGTCGTCGGTGGCTGAGGCCTGAGTTGCACACCAAGGAGCAGATCCTGGAGCTGCTGGTGCTGGAGCAGTTCCTGACCATCCTGCCCCGGGAGTTCTATGCATGGATTCGGGAGCACAGCCTGGAGAGTGGCAAGGCCCTGGTGGCCATGGTGGAGGACTTGACAGAAAGAGCGCTGGAGGCCAAGGCGGTGGGTGAGAAGGGGGATCCAGGTCTTGTGCTGTTGGCGTGGGAAGGAAGTTTTAAAGAATTGAAAGATTTTATTAAACAGTGGGAATGGATGAGGTGTAGAACCTCCCTCCTCTGCTCCTAGACTCCCTGAGGTACTTGCTGGAAAGCAGTGGAGTTTTTAGCAAGAAAAGCCTTTCCCAGGGAAGATGTTGGCATGCAGAAGGGCCTGAAGCCTCTGTGTGGCCATTAGGACAGAGGCCTGGCCATGTTTTCTTTGTGAGCATCAGGCACAAAGAAGGCAGTTGTAACTGTTTTCAGGGTCCCTCATGGACCCAGCCCCACTTTGGGCAGAGATGCCTATGGAAATGCAGGGAATCCCTCTTGGTGAATGTTCTTAAGAATATCCTGAGAAGAATTGTCCATAGTAGTGTTGTGTCTGCGTCTGAGATGTTGACCCAGAGGGCTCCTGTAGTGATTTGGTGGTGGTGTTCTGATGACACCAAGTGACTGCCCCACAAATGCTTCCTTGGAACTCTGGCCATATTTCTGTCACTCTGGTACAGTCACCTGATGGATGGCTAGGAAAGGAAACAGGACCAATGTTACGGTGTTGCTCACAAGTCCCAGTCATTCCATAGTTCAGCCTCCCTTCCACACTGTCATCACCCTTGACTTCCTGTCTTCCTGGAGAACCCTAAGAGAATTTTTTTTCTCCTCCCAGCTCAGGAGCTTAAAAGTGGACCAGGAAGAGCCTTGTTTTTGTGAGTGTGTCTCTGTGAGAGTCCTCCTGACTTTCCTTGCTCTTTTTAGAGCAGCTGTTTCTCACTAGTTAATTTACTGCAGAGTCTAGGCTTTGCATGTTTTATTTTTAGCTTTTGTATTGGGAAATTTTCTTTTCTAGTAGCGAGTGTATTGTGCTAAGCTTTTAGCAGGACAGTATTTGGGCTCTTTGTGATGTTATTCATGGTGATATTTGACTGATGTCAGGCAGGCAGAAGGGACCCTTGTCAAATGGCATGGACAGAGAAAAGTTGCTCAGGGCCTGATAAAGGGAGTTTGACTTCTTTTTCACTACCTTACTGATGTGCTGGGGAAGAGCTCAGCTGGCTTTTCCTTCCTCTCCTATGAAGCTAGAATGGTTCTTTTCTTGATTCTCTTTTTAGGTTTTAATTCAACTCCCTTCATAACAGCCTTGCCCAGGCCTCATTCTAATTGGTGTTGGGAACTGTTCTTAGGTTCCATGCCATGTGCAGGGAGAGCAGGAGGAGACAGCACTTTGCAGAGGTGCTTGGGAGCCAGGCATCCACCTGGGGCCAGTAGATGTCAAGCCCGAGTGGGGGATACCCCATGGGGAAGGAGTTCAAGGCCTAGACCAAGGCACTGAGGAGCGGCTCAATCAAGGCCCTGGAGACGGGACGCAAGACTTCCAGGAGCAGGGTAAGATGCAAATAGCATGTAAGGGCACAGAAAACTCCTTTGCAGGCTACCCCATCCCCTTGTCCTTCAGAAACTCAGTGATATTTAAACAAAGTTACCTGCAAGGTGTAATTCTGAATTTTCTTGGCTACTTCCTTGACTTTGGCAGGAAATGGATGAAATGAAATTGTTTCCTCTACCTGGCCTCTGGTTTCGGAGGGGATATCTGGGATTATGTTCTCTGATTGTTTCTCTCTTCTCCTTTCCCTCAGATCCCTTCTAGAAACCATCAGGAAATACTCAGCTGACACATGGGAATAGGTTTTTAAGTGGGCATATTAATCATATCCCTCAAAGTAATGTGTGACTTTATTTCGTTACTGAATCTCAAAGGGGCTTATTCCCAGAGTGTGACTAAGGAACATGAGGGGACAGGGCTGCTATGGTCTTCCCAGCTGAGAACAGGGCAGGGGACACTCGTGTGTGGGAAAGTGTGATACCGAAGTGATTCTATCTAGAGTCTCCTAGTTCCTGAGGTTGTGTATGTCGGGTGGGGGACACCTTTGAATAAGCTAACTACATGACAGTGCTGATTCTTTCTTGCTTTTTGTCCCTGCTCAGCTCTGCCTATTCTTCAGGTGGGTCCAGGCCTCCCTCCAGTGAATACCAGAGACCAAGAGGTGGCAGCTGGGTTTTTTACACCTGGATCCCAGGTGAGCTATGACTTTGCCCTTCCAGAGTTCACGATGTTGCTGTGATTGAGGATCACCTTGCCAAGGTTTCTCAGTACAACAACATGCTCCCACCCCTCCAAAGTTGGGTCATTCTCTTTTCTAGTCCTGGTGGACCTGATGGTATCGTTTTCTCTGTTGTACCACTATCTCCAGGTGTTCATTTTCATTGAGCCTTATCCCTGGACATTAAACCAAGATTGACTTGTTGGTGTTACTTTTATAATTGTGAAGAAGATGACATTATTGATAGAAACCCCACAGGGCTACCTATGCTGTGATGGTCAACCCTGAGATAAAGATCCCGTTGTGTGGGTGCCCTTTATGGATGCTTCTGTTGCTGCTGTTCCTCTGGATGCCCCCCCCACCCCATCAGCAGGAATGTGGCTGAGCCAGGGTTGGGAATGTGGTTCAGCCAGAAGTGCAGAACAGGGTGATCTCTCTGGCCCACACAGGCCACACTAGGAGTTTGGGCCTTTTTAACCCTCACCTCCCACAAATGGGGGTAACTGAATCATAGATGGGGCACTCTCTCTTCCACAGGGTGCTGAGTGTTACCAAGGAGGTGGAGAGGTTTCCAATGGGGAACTTTTCTGAAGGGGGTGAGTGTTAAAGAGTTCCTTCATGAAGAAAAGGTATTGTTTGGCAGAAAAAAGTGAGTCAAATCTGACTTACCTGAAGCCATATTTAGGCAGGGTTTGATGCCAACACCATTTCTCATTCCTCTTTTCTAAGGATGTGGTTTGGTGTGGGATGAGAGATGTCACCAGTGTGTTTTAATTTGGTCAGACCTTGCCTTCTACCATAATAGTTATTCATGGCATAGTGAATGAGAAAATGAGAATGCATTTGTTTTAACATGGCATTGTTCTTAAGACAGGGCTTGCCTAAATGTGAACTTGCCTCTTAGGGAAAATTGGTTCTATATAAGACAGTAAATAGCAGCTCCCAGGCTCTGTCAAGCTTGAGGTGTGAGTTGAGGTGACTGCAGAGTGGAAATGGGGTGCTGCTGTTGTCAGCGGCAAGGCGAGACGCCACAGCTGAGACTCAAACAAGTCATTTGCTCTCATTAAACTGCTGGGAGGTAGGTGGTGCTGCTCCCAAGGCATCAGGGACCAGGGTCCTTCTGTTGTCTTGCTCTGCTCTTCCCTTGTGTTGTCCCCTGTGTTAGCTCCTGCTTTCAGACTGCTCCTCCTTGGGATTCTTTTTTTAGCCATAGCAATCTCCTTTCGTTTCAGGGGTTGGGACCGTTTAAAGATATGGCCTTGGTCTTCCCTGAGGAGGAGTGGAGGCACGTGACCCCAGCCCAGATAGACTGCTTTGGGGAGTATGTGGAACCACAGAATTGCGGGGTCTCTGCAGGTAAGACTCTGTCTCTGACCCACAGGTAAGAAACTGAGGAGTTTTGAAAGCTCGGGTCCTGGTTTCTGCCCTAGCCCCGATATGACTGGCAAAGGATTTCATGGCAGACCAGTGAACAGGTCCAGAGGAAAGGTGGTTCGGTGTATTCCTGTGTGGAGAGAGGAGCTGGATTACAGAGCAGGAAAACACGAGGCCATTTGTCTGGCCGTAGTGAGACAGGTTGCTCATTAGGATCCCCAGATACTTTGTGACCATGACTGAAGGGTACTGGGAGCTTCAGAGCAAGAGAAAAACATCAAAAGATGGAGTGTCTGATCTTGTTCATTCAGCAGATATTTATGAGTGCTCCCTGCGTGCAGGCCTCATGTTAATAGCTTTGTGTTCCGGCAGGAAGTGGGCTGGACTGAAATACACGAAACTGTGGGAGCACACAGTGTGTGGAGGAGGGCATGAGGATGCACAGTGGGAGCTTAGCCATGGGAAAGGTTGGTGCAGGCGGAGTCACAGAGGAAGCAGGGCCTCACTGGCCTCAAGTGGCCTGGTTTGACCTGAGGTCAGAGCCTTTGGGGATGCGGCCATCACATGAGTGACAGCAGCTCATAGGAGGAGGTCCAGGGTGAAGGCCCGTGGGGCAGCCAGCAGAGGGCACCATGGGGCTTGGGGCCTGCCAGGTTGCAGTGTGGGTGGAAAGAGAACAGTGGGGAGAGGAAAACAATATGGCCAGGAACAACTCTCTCCTTGTTTCCCTCTGAGTCTCTTATCTTTTCCTTTCATAGCTTCTTATGAGTTGTACACTGACCACTCCTCTGTAATGACCCCACCTGGCCTTTCCTCATTTTGAAATTTGTTGAGGGATGAGCAAGGGTATCATTGCACTTCCTCCAGGACATGAGGGAATCTGTCCTGGCTTTACCATTTGCTACCCGTGACCTTGGGCATCTTTCTTCACCTTTTCAGGTCTAGTTTTCCTCAGTTGTGAAATGGGGCTGCTCATAGAACATGGCCTTACGGTGCTGTGAGGATGAAAGGAGATAATACATCTACATGTGTGGCAACCGTGATGACGTCGGATTGTTTTATGAGTTGTGGAAATATTATAAAGTGATTCTTTTATGAGTTAGCATTTATTTACTTATTTACCCATGAAGATGTATTTGGCACTTACTGTGTGGCCAATGCTCTGCTGTCACTATGAAAAGTTGAAAGCAAAAGAGCTTACATCTAGGGTCTTACAGTTCAGGTGAAGAGGCCAAGTGCATGTAATGGTGGTCATGATGGAGTAGCGTATGGGGTGGGGGCAAGACCTGGGTACAGGGCAAGGTTGTCACAGCATGACAGTGACGTGAGTAGCCGAAAGATGCCAGCATGTTTTACATAGAGAAGAGATGTGCCATGCTGCAATGGCAAAGGATGTGGAAACCTTCGGGGATAACTGCACAGATCAGGGGCTCGTGTGACATGCCCCAGACAGAGGTGCCAGCCTCCCAGCATCATGATCCTCCTCAGGGAGGTACTTTTGCCAGTGATGCTACCGTGTGGGGTAAAGATTCTGCCCTCCCATTCTCACAGTGTTTTCACACCCTCCTGGCCATTTCTGACTGTTCTAGAGATTCTGGTTCTGTGCTTGTCTCTCACCAGCTCAGCATTTCAGAACAACCCAAGCACATACCTAAGCCTTTCTGCTGAGGCTGGGTGATGGGACTGTCCATTTCCCAAGTGTTCTATCTGCTAGCTGTCCAAGCCTTCGGGTCTTCCTGAGGTTCATTCTCATGTCATCCTGCTCTTACATTGACAGCTGTGTGGAGCTGGGCCTGAGCTGCTTCATCAGTAGAGGATGGACATCTGGAAGAAAGGTTGGGCCAGATGGGTTCTCAGATCCCTTCCAGTTCTTGGTCTGTTCTCATTAGAGAACGATTAACTGCAAACCTTGTGGTCTGCGTTGTAATTGCAGTAATGGTAATGAGGAGGGTGGAGACATAGGACTGGGATGGAGTAGGAATTTAGAAGATGATTTGGAATCACAGAGGCAAAGAATATCATGTGCACAAATCTGAGTATAGGAATCTGGTGGCTGGTTCCCAAGATGGTGAGGGCTCTGGGGTGAAAGATCAGTGTTCAGAGGAATAAGAGAGAGGCTGGGGTAAATAGAGTGAGGCCAGCCATGAGGACTATGGGTGCTTTGTTTTAAAATTTTTCAGCACACAGAAATGTAATGGAAGCTTTACTTGAGGAAAATTGAATTGATGGCAGGGTACAGTCAGCCTGGAGGGTTGAAGTAACGTAGACACAAGGGTAAGAGCAGGAACCCTTCACACCCTGTTGTCTGTGAAGAAAGGGGTTTACTGAACTCTAAGGATTGTCACTGATTGGCCAGAGGAAAGGAAAAAGAAAAGTCAAAGAGGAGTCTCAGATCCTGGCTAGGGGACTGGAAAAATGATGTTGCTACTGCCAGAAAGGGAGGGAAATGTTTTCCTAAGGGGGAGAATGGAGGGTTCCATTTGTTGAGTTTGAGGTCCAAGTAGAGGGTCCCTGGAAGTAGCTGGAAGTCATGTACCTGGTCTGGGAGCTAAAATAATACTACCTACCATTGCATATCATATCTGTGTGTATAGCATCCTTCATGAGTGTACAATCCATTTTGAAGGTGAAGATTGTAATGCTCAGAGAGGTTAATTAATTTTTCCATGATCCAATGGCAGTCTGGTAGCCAATGCAACATTCAAAACCATTCTCTTTTGACTACTAGACCTTTCTCCCACTGTCTGTCTGTGCTTAGATATTTCATTGTATTTATTTTCCATCAACTTTATATTTTGACCTTTTATTGTAAAAATTTTCAAATGTACAGAAAAGCTAAGACTAGTACAGTGAACACACACCTTTATCTAGATTCAATAATTGACATTTGCCATATTTATTTATAAAATGTGTGTATGTGGTTTTGGAAGGATTCGGAAGGTGGGGACATCTTGATCTTTCATTCTTAAATACTTCAACATGTGTCTTCTAATATTGACATCCCAACATAACCCAGTATTGTAATTTCACCTAAGAAAATAAACATAATTTCCATATATAATATCTAGCACATAATCAGCTTTACCCAGGATCTAGTTAAGTTTCATGCACTGCATTTAGTCTTAATTTTACTATCTGTAACAGCTTCAAACTGGAAACTACCCAAATGAACATCAGTCAAATTAATAAGTAGGTTGTGATATATTCTCACAGTGGAATACTATACACAAATGAAAAAGAACAAACTGTATTAATAGTTACACATTGACATGGGTGAATCTCAGAAACATAATATTGAGCAGAAGCAGCCAGAAACAATGTATGAATCAATTACAAAAAGTTCAAGAACAGACTAAAGAGTCTGGATAGTGTGTTCCCTCTGGGGCCAGGGGATAGTAAAGGAGGGGATGGAAGCGGGGCTTCTGGGTGCTGGTTATGTTCTGTTTCTTGAACTGGATGCTATTTATACTGTGGGGTTCGTTATGAAAATTCTCTGAGCTCTACCTTTATGTTTTGTACACTTTTACTTTCATGAAGAGTTTACAGAACAAAAGAGTAAGTCTGAGATGATCTTTGTGTATTTCATATTTTATCAAAGGAGAAGGCACATAATGTCAGTTTCTTTTTACCTTCTCATGGACTAGCCTGAAAGGACTCTTTCCCCCTTTAAGCACAAGTTGTCATTGGTCTTTTTCTCTTTCTTTCTTCTCTTGGCCTCTTTAGTCCTCAGTACCTGTTTTGCTCTTTTTTTCCCATCCCCTTCCCTTATTCTTCCAGGAACAACTTTTCTCTTAATTTAGAGAGAGTGGAAGAGGGATCAGAATGAGGATGGAAGGGTCAAGCTGAGCATTTCAATGGAACCATGGTCCTTTCAGTCCTGATAAATATGCTCATGTAGGGGCTTATTAATTCTGTCAGCCGATAACAAGCATCTTCCCTGAGTCAGGCCCCTGCCAGGATCCCAGGAGACCTGGTTAAGGACACTGGTTAGGGGAGTGACCATGTGGGCAGGGACAGGGGCCTGAGCTCGCTGTGGAGGGTCTGGAGGGCTGCATGCCACCCTGTGCTGGAGTAGCTTTAATCATGGGGAGGGAAGGCGGGACATCTGGAAGAGTGGAAATTAGCATTTCCGACAGGGTCACATGTAAATAAGTGCTGAATAATAATGTGCTTATTGAGTACATCAGTGTCGAAGAGGCCTGGGGTAAGAGAATAATTAGGGCATGTTTCTTAGAGGAAAACATTGAGTTAGATTTTGAAGGAAATGAAAGTCTGGATTAGTAGAAAGCTAAGTGGGAGGGCACTAAAATTTGGAAGACTATTCTGTAAAAAGCCATGGAGGTGGAAAGAGTTAAAGAGAAGGAACCGTGAATGGGACCCCTCAGAAGCAAAGTTCTAACATATAAATGTCCTTTCGTGGCTGCCACAGAGTCAGTCTTTATCTCCTTTCTCCTGTAGGCGTTGGGAGCAAGGAAAAGGAGGCCAAGCCCCAGCAGGAAGAGCTGAAAGGGGCTCTGGCTGCACTGCCGGCTGAGAGGTTTGGGGAAGCCGATCTCCAGGGCCCTGGGCTGGGACGGGCCTGTGAACAGGAGCCGGGTGGCTCTGGGGGCGGCGTGCCCGGGCTTCCTCCTCCCCAGCATGGCACTCTCCCCCTGCATGATGACCTCAAAACCCATAGCTCCTTCTGGAAGCCTTTCCAGTGCCCTGAGTGTGGAAAAGGCTTCAGTCGGAGTTCCAATCTGGTCAGGCACCAGCGAACCCACGAAGAGGAGAAATCCTATGGCTGCATGGAGTGTGGGAAAGGCTTTACCCTGAGAGAGTACCTGATGAAGCACCAGAGAACCCACCTAGGGAAGAGACCCTATGTATGCAGTGAGTGCTGGAAAACCTTCAGCCAGAGACACCACCTGGAGGTGCACCAGCGCAGCCACACCGGGGAGAAGCCCTACAAGTGTGGGGATTGCTGGAAGAGCTTCAGCCGGAGGCAGCACCTGCAGGTGCACCGGAGGACGCACACCGGGGAGAAGCCCTACACCTGCGAGTGTGGCAAGAGTTTCAGCAGGAATGCCAACCTGGCTGTGCACCGGCGTGCCCACACCGGGGAGAAGCCATACGCCTGCGAGTGTGGCAAGAGTTTCAGCAGGAATGCCAACCTGGCTGTGCACCGGCGTGCCCACACCGGGGAGAAGCCATATGGGTGCCAGGTGTGTGGGAAGTGCTTCAGCAAAGGGGAGCGGCTGGTCCGACACCAGAGGATCCACACAGGAGAGAAGCCCTACCACTGCCCTGCCTGCGGGCGAAGCTTCAACCAGAGGTCCATCCTCAACCGGCACCAGAAGACCCAGCACCGCCAGGAGCCCCCAGTACAGTGAAGGCACCATGTGGCAGGCAGTCTTGTTGGAGGGGTGTCATTCATCTTACTCACTGAAGGGCCTTGCGGGTGTGGCGTGATGGCCTATAGTAAGGCCCTTCGACACATTACCCTTCCACCTGTTCTCAAACGTAGGAAAAAGACAGGCCTAGTTTACTCAGAGCTTCCAGAGAGCATAGCTGTGTCCATCTCTTACCCAAGTGGTGCTAACAGTTTTTCTTACCATCTTTTAGGGAAATGATCTCCTGAGCTTTAGTTCAGGCTGAGGTTTCTCTCCTTCAGTGGGGTGTTCGTATTTACCTGCCGAGCAAAGCTAGCAGTAAAGGCAAAAACTTCGTCACATGTTGGCAGCTGGTGCCTCATTTTTCTGTGGGTTCTTTCCTGCCTGCACAATCATCAGCTCAGCCTCTCCCTCTCCCCCACCCACTCTCTCTTTTCCATTTGGCAAATATTTATTGAACACCTACTATGCTGCTGGCCCTGGGGATACAGTGGAGTAGGGGATGGACAACACCTCGTTCTCAACAGAGGTTGTGCTGTGAGGTGGGGACACACACCAACTGTCAATAACCCAAAGTATTCTCAAGTGCGCCTGTGCTAAGTGCCAAGAGAGTGTCTTGTCTGCTCATTCTTCCCTGCCTGCTCCTGCACCGGACCTTCCCACCCCAGTTGGGATCTTCTCTCAGGCAGCCTCGTTTATTTTACCCTATTCGTAGCCTCTTTTGTGTCTGGCTGTAATGTTCTACCCGCCTCTTTAAAACTTCCCCATTTGTTACTCCTTGCACTGTAACAACTGTCAACATATAAACTGTTAGGAAATTAATATTTTGGTATTGATCATTGAATAAATATGAGAGTATTTTAAAAAACATTCAGTTCTGTAAAAAGATCTAATTAAATAAGTTTGAAAGATGAACTAGTATTAATGCTCTATATTTGATGGCACTTTACAGTATACAAAATGCTTTGCTCTATTCCTCATTTGATTCATTCCACAAATATTTGTTGAGGCTCTGTAACGTGCCAGGTACTCTTGTGGGTGTTTGAGATACATTCATGAATAAAATGGGGGAAAAATCCCTGACCTCGTAGAGCTGACATTTTAGTGAACGTACTTTATCTTCGGAACCTGTGGGTGCTCTCGTGAATCTGCTGGGCCTGGGATCTGAGTCTGTATTCTGGGTCCTGTCAGCACCTTGCCCTGAAAGCATTTGCCACCTACCTCTGGATACTGAATGGTCTCAGTTCTCTAGACCCTTGTCATCCAAGCCACTGGGGGTCCTGGACGTCAACTGGGGATGATGAGGTGGTTAGTGACCCGTTTTGCATGAATGCCAATTCAGGAAACATAAAGACATTTGTAGGCATTTAAAAAAATACATTTCTTTGAAAATGAGAAGATGCAGTGTTTGTAACTGTTTAAGCTTCCTTATGTTGCCAACACTGGCGTGTTTCCTTTCTGTTTGAAATTCTATAATCTACATAATTAGCATGGACTGCTCTGCTGTCGTTGTTGTGCTGTGCCTTTGAACTCTGGCTGCTGAGTGAGTGAATGAGTTTGTCTTTTGACAGTGTACTGTAATTGTAAAATGTTGTTTGTGTCCTGGTGCCTCTTAATGTCATATTCTTTTACTGAGATTTTTTTTGTTCCATTTTCTACTGTATATAAGATAAATGGTAACAACTGACACAGTTGTCTTACTCAGTCCACGTTGGAACACACGATTTTGTCCCATTTTTTGGCAGGCAGCCGTGGTGTTTAATTTTGATTTAGCAAATGACCCTCCTGGTTCTTCTGGCCCATTGGCTATGCCTAGGAGGCTGTGCTGACCAGGGTGTAAGTGTATCTGAGATGTACACACTGGGCTGCTGCTGCTCCTCAGCCATGTATGCCAAGGTCCATATGCAAAATCAGTTCTTTTTTTCCCCAATTCTCAGACAAGCTAGGCAAGACTAACAGCCTTCTGCCAGCCAAACCCCATAGGAGGCTTCTGGTCTGAAGGATGTGGGGGCTGACTGGGCCTGAGTGTGGCCTTCCCCAGAGGTCAGTATTCCAAAGCCAGGCAGGGACTGTGGAGTGGGGTTGGGAGGGCGGCTGGAAGTTGATCATTTGTGGTCTGTTTACCTGAATTAAGTTGTTGACGCGCTTTGATCGTACACTCAGCCAACAGGCCTCTGGATTTTCAGCAAGTTGGGAATCTCTTGACAGAAGCTCCATTATGACCTGGGCCTTGCCGGCTTTCCCATCTGGCCTCTTCCCCTGTCTGCTGTGAGGCCAAAACTTATGGACAATGTCTCAAAATAAGCCTCAATTAAAGGGGAGTTTTTCCCATGGAATTGTTGTAGCCTTATTTTTGATATCTATTTAAATGTCAAGAAATGTTATCTGTATTTTTTTATTTTCTAGAAATTTTTTTTTTATTTCAGCATATTCTGGGGGTACAAATGTTTAGGTTACATATATTGCCCTTTCTCCCCCTCCCCCCCAGTCAGAGCTTCAAGCACCCCCCCAGACGGTGCTCATCTAGAAATTTTTTATAGTAGAAAATTTCAAACATATATAAATGAATCCTCATATATTCATCATTTGACTTTAACATTTATAAACTCATAGCCAGTCTTGTTTCATCTCTACCCATTCTTCCCTACCTGTCTTCCTCTCCCACTGAAGTGTTCTGAAGCATATCCCATATGTTGTTTATAAATATTTCAGTGTGTATCTCTAAAAGGTAAGGCTCTTTTAAGAAAACCACAATACTATTATACCTAAAAAAAAATCAATTTCTTAATGTCAGAATAGTCAATTAATTTTAATAGCCCCCATAATTTTTCTATACATTGTAATTTGTTGCTTTGTCTTCTAAGTCTTTTAATCTATAGTAGTTATCCTTTTTTTCTTGAAGTTTATTCATTGAAAAAACTGGATTATTTATCCTATGGAGTTTTTTAAATTCTGAATTTTTCTGTTTGCATACCTATGGCATTGTTTAACATGCCTCTGCCCTCTCTATTACTAAAAACTTGCAGGTACAGAGGTGTAACCAGATCCATATTTTGCATTTTGTCAAGAACACATAGATGGTGGCATGTCTGGTTGTTTCTCTTTACATAATGTTAGGAGCCTAGATCTGTTTATTTTTTAGTCCTATAAATTAGTCTTGTCTATCATTTAGTAGCTGGAATACTTCTGTAAGAAATTTCCCTCCATTACTATTAGGCTACGCTTACATACAGTTCATAAAGGAAAGTCAGGATAAATGCTTGATCATCTCTTTTATTTGCCTGTTTTTGCAATAATGAGCTGGTTGCTTTGCTTCCTGTAAAGGCAACCAATTTTTAAAAAATCATAATGGGTTTGTGGATTTAAACATTTGTTATTGATCAATCCACTACAGTTATAATTTGATGCTCAAATCATTTCACCTTTGACCACTGGGAGCCTCTTCAACTTGGCTTCTTATCCCTTTCAACACAAACCTCTAATCATCATTGACAGCTTTTTTGCTTTCTGGTATGACAAGATATTCCAGGCTCATCTCATGTTTCCTGCCCCTTTTGAGTTCAAAAGGGAGTGCTGTACATTATGTCAGGACACTGGTATAGACTGGGACTCTCCAGAGCAAACAGAGATGTTTGGTCACCTTACATAGATGCCTCATTGTGCATGATGGGGCGTCTGCAGTTCCCTCACATGGTGGTAGTGCTGTGTGCCTTTGGTGTCTGGCTGTCTGTGCCATGCTGCTGGATAGTGAGGGGGGCTGTTGTTCCCAGAGGTGTGACTCTTGAATGGGAAACCCTCTTTTCTCCCGTGGGTGGTGGTAGGACTAAGTAACTGTCCAAGGTCTATCCTGGGGAGCTATTTCATCAAGAAAGTTTGATCCTTGTCAAAATGTGTGCCATGAGTGTTGTCTTCAGGCTGATTGCACTTAAATACTTGATGCATCTGTTTTTAATCCCAGCTGAGGCGTAAGTAGAAGTTTTGTTTCTTAAAAAACAAGCTGGTGAGTTTATAGGAGGTTCTGGGTCTGTAAGAATGACTAAGCTTATGAACTCTATAGTTGCACTGTTCCAGGATGACAAGGAGCATGTTCCTCTCCTTGTATCCCTAAGCACGCAGCCCCAGGCCAAGACTAGAGCCAGTCTGAAATGTGTTTGCTAATAGAAGGATCATCTTACCCTATGCCCTACATTGGAAGAGAGGACTCTGAGCCAGAAAGTCTCTCTGCAGATGGCCATGAGCAAGGTCAGCTGAGGGTCTCTCATATTCATTCATTGCTGACCCTTTTTCCTTTTTCTTGTTCAATTATTTTTCCCATGGGGTCAAATCATTGCATTAGTCCCCATCACTGCAAATGCACACTGTGAGAAGACCTTTTCTTCATGTTGTTGTCAACTTTCTTCACATAATTTTTACAGGTTTGAAGTGAGATTTTGTTGCTGTTATTGTGGTTTTATGGTCAGAGACCCAGGAAAGCCTGAATCTTGCCCTGCCAATCATCCCAATCCCTGGAGATTCAGGGAACAGTAGCAGTGCTGAGCTCCATATACCACTTTATTAGCATCTGAGCCACATCCAGTGTCTTTCTTCATTGGGTTCGCTGGGAACAGGTGATCTGGAAAAGAGTCTAGGTCTGCCTTGCTCCCCACTCTTAGCCCCAAATCTGAGTTGAAGACCTGTGGGTTCAGACCCACCCTGGACAAAGGGAGATTGCTGACTGGATCCCATGTGGGGACTCCGGCAAGATGCATGGGTAAAGAGGACTAATCACAATCAGGGCCAGGCTGGAAAGAAGGCAGCTCCTTCCCCAGATGCAGACATTGTGGGGCACACTGCCCTTCATGGAACAGGGGCCAAAGATCTCCTTAGGCTCTGACCAAGTACATATGTAATTCTTTTTCTTTGAATGAGGTCAGGGAGATGTAAAGGGAATGGGTTAAGGCAGAATGGGGAGAGGATCATTAGTGTTCTTTTTCCAGTGTTTGCTGTTGTCATTGTCGTCATCATCACTATCATCATCATCTACAGCAGAACATTTTTGTCGCATTGTTTTAAACCAGGCACTGCGATAGATTCTTCTGAATATGTGGTAATTAAGATGAACAAGGCCTTTTTATAGAATTTAAAAAGGACCCAGTGGTCCCATTTGGGGTAGAGTTTGGGGTGAATATGAACGATGCCAAGAAGAGCATGAAAATGGCTGTCACAGAATTGGAGTTCTGTGGAGCTCCAGAGGGGAAAGGAGACCCCCTCCTGGCTAGGGTTACTGGAGGGGCTTCATGAGGAACATCAGATTTGATCTGAACCTTGAAGGACAATTAGAATTTTATAGAAATGGCCAAGATGGACCTATCCAAACAGCATGAGTGAGGACTGAAAAATCACGGAGTGCTTGGTAGAATGGTGAATTCTAGACTGATCGGAGCAGACTCAAATGGCCAGAAATTGGAGGCATCTGGACTAGAGGCCAGTTGTAGTGACCTTCTGAGAAATTATCTTTTCTCCATTGTACCCTTTGCAGCCCAGGATATTACTCTGTTGGGTAGGAAACTGTATGTAACTTCTCCAGCCACAAACTCATCTTTATGAGGCCTTTCTCTCTTGTGTCACTATCCAGGAAAACCTGTCGTGAAGCTCATTCATAAGGACTCTAGTCGTATAATATGCAGCAATATTGGTTCCAAGTTCAAGTTAGCGTAGGACACATGGCAAGATTCAGTCCACAGAAGCCACTTGAGTCTTCATACAATGAAGGTAATGTGGCTCTGACATTTAAAGACAAAATAGCTTTTCAAACAGATCACGGTTAGAGATGACAAGAGAACATTTGTTAAGTCTAGGTGGTG